ACTAAACTTTGACTTGAAATACCCTTGAATAATTTAGGAAACAGCCCCTACACTAATGAAAAAGGTAAATGACCTATCCTAGCATGCCACAAGTGTAACCTAACTATTGACTCCTCATTATTCTGACTACTAGTAGCAGATGATTGTAAGGCCGAACTTATGTCTGCATCAAAATAGTAGAGACCTCCACACTCATGACCGCTCCCAATCGTTCTCTTCATCAATCTGTCCTGAAAGACACAACGAGTAGGAAAGAAAGTTACGCTACAGTTTAAATTCTTGGTAAGCTTCGAAACAGATAAGAGATTGAAAGTAAGATTGGGAACATGTAGAACAGAGTTAAGAGAGAGGTTCTTGCTTAGGTCCACCCCCCTTTCCCAAAGATGGTGGAGAGGGAACCATTAGCAACTCTCATCTTATCTTGGCCAGACATCAATTGGTAAGAAGAAAATAAAGAGGACATGTGTGTAATGTGGTCAGTTGCACCGGAATCAATAATCCAAGAAGTAGAGTCTATAGACCTAGTTGTGCTATAAGCAGAGACAATACCTGATCTGGCAAGAGAGGTGGAAGCAAGGGAATTAGTCCTTAGACGGGTTAAGGCCCAGCTAAGGACCTCTACCTCATCAGCAGTGAAGCCCAAGGATCCGGAAGTGGAGGAATTAGCAGTCTGTCCCATGGGGGAAGAGGTAACTGTAGATGTGTTCTTCGAGCTATCACCACTGTGACTAGTAACATAATTCCCACTTGTTGTTTGATTCTTTTGGGGCTTCTTGTCTTTCCTTAACACAGCTGGTTTCAGATGAGGATAAAGAACCCAACAAGTCTCTTTTACATGCCTTTCACCACCACAATGAGAGCACTTAAGATGCCTCTTGTCTGAATGCTTGCTCCCCTTTTGGTTTGAAGAAATCAGGGCTGAATGTTCAACAGGTTGTTCGGTTGGCTGTGTTTGAGTGTCAACTTGCATCTCTTTCCTCCTAACTTCTTCATTCCTTACTAGATAATAGACATGATGTAAATCTGGCATTTCATCCCTTCCCAATATTTGAGACCTTATGCTCTCATACATTAGGTCTAAACCAGCCAATAACTTAAAGGCTCTACCCTCTTCAATTTGTTTATCATGCCTCTCCTTGTCTTTTGCATTCTCCCAATCAAGAATGAGATGATGATCAAGTTCTTCCCATAGTCCTTCTAGGGTTGCAAAATACGTTGCAACTGTCATATCTCCTCGTCTCAATGCAGCAATGTCTTGGTTCAGCCTATAAATTCTGGCAGTGTTCTTTCTCTGTCCATAAGTTTTAGAGACTTTCTCCCAAATCTTAGCAGCAGTAGGAAAGTGTTGAACAGTCCCGGCCACTCTTGAAGTCATTGAAGCAAGCAGCCAAGACATAACAGTAGCATTTTCCTTACGCCAAACTGCATACTTCGCACTACCCACTACAGGTTCCTTCTGTCCATCTAGATAACCCGTAAGTTCCCAGGAAGTAATGAAGAGCATGGCTGATCTGCAATTATATTCATCCAACAATACACCGGTGATCTGCAAGCTGTGTAGATTTGGATTTTCCAGATTAGGAGACCTCTCACCAGTTCTATGATCCCTAGAAGACACTTCTCCCGATATTGAAGACATCTCCTTCCTCTTACAGTGATCACAATTGAAAACTCAGTACAAAGAACACTATTTCAGACTTACCGAAGTTGTTGCAGGTTTGAGAACCCCTTGTAAAAGGTCTGAAACCAAGAACAATCCTCCTTTGTACTGCGCTGAACTCTTCTGGACTAGACTGGGCTTTGACTTCTACTGTAGTAGACTGTGATCACCCGTACGATCTACACTAGGACTGTCGAAGTCAGTCCTTCCACCTAGATCTGTTCCACACAGATCTCTCTTAGCAGCCGAATGGCTACTACCTGCTGCAAGGTGTCTACTAGGGCATCGATTTCTGGAACAAACTCCCCTTGGGCCCTACAACCAAGGGAAACCCTAGATACAGACCTTGCTATGTTCTACGGTCAGCCCTAGGGTTTCTTCATAGCAGCCAAGATGGGAGAGAGAGAGAGAAAAAAAAAAGGAATAGAGAAGAGCAAAAAAAGTGGAATCAGATAGACGGATTAGTGCTCTGATACCATGTTTGCTGGAATACAGCAGCCGAAGAAGAAGAAGAAGAAGAAGAAGAAGAAGAAGAAGAGAAGAAGATTTGAGAAAGGCGGCATACTTTCTTCAGCCGGCCCTACAATCTTATATATATGATTATAAAATAATATTAGATGAATGGACTAGAATGCCCCTGATTAGTGATGGGACACCTAGACAAATAAAACAAATAAAACATTAAACAAGTTTAGGCCCAATAACTAAGAACTTAAGACACAAATATGACTCACATAAACACTAAAAACAGCCGAACCAACAATGTAGAAAAGATAAAATAGTAAAATATTATCAAAAATATAATAAATAGTAAAAATAATATAAAATAAATACAGTAAAAAGGATAAATAATAAAAAATTATTATAAATATAATAAAAAGGAAAAAAAGGAAAAAATAATGGTAATAAAAAATTAAAAATATAAAATAAATCATAATATTTTGAAAAATAATATAAAATGAATTAAGATACTTTTCTATAAATTACACCCAATAGAAATGGAGCTAGATGCCCATTTCATCGACCCAAATGCAAACCAAGTACGCTTGATTTGACATGTATCAATGGCTTCCTCGAAAATCCCCCAGATCCCTTGTCGAAATCCCACAATGACTGCTCGTCAGACCACTGTTTATGTTGTTGTTTGTCTCTCCTTTTGGAACCAGTATTGCCGTCTTCCTCTTCTGTGTTGTCTTTGTAGATTGAATCTCTTCCTCATTCAAACCATCATCTTTTATTAACATCTCAACGTTTGAATCCCAGTACAAGTTACTACCGTTACTATTTCAACAAGAACGATACCTGGTAGAGCAGCAGGGAAGATGAACTGAGAAATTAAGGTTTCACAATAGAGTATATAGTTTCTCAATGGCTATGGTGAAGTAGAGATGGAGCAAGGGAAGACAACGGGAGTAGTTTTGGGTATTCTGAAGGGCACCATATTGGAATGAAAGTTTTGTGCGCCACCTGTGAACGCGCTCAAAGGTAGCTCAATGCCTAAAGAGTTTGGAGGCATTTTCAGGATTCAGTGGTTCCATTCAAAGGTGCAGCCAAACGACCACCGAGTGCTCAAGTTTTCAGTCTTCGGTGATCGATTCAGCCCTACCGAATGCCACCTTAGTCTTCCTTGGTTCACCAAACTAATTCCCACATAAACCTGCTCTGATACCATGTTAGTACAATTCGAATCAAAGAAATTGAACAGATTTGTGGTGTTTCTAAGTGAATCGACCACACCAAGAGAAAGATATATAATAGTGAAGAGTAAAAGGACAAATCATTTTCATCACTTCCCTCACAAAAAGTGATTATATCATCTCCAAACTACAAATGTGTTACAACCACCTCATTCTGCCTACCCTTCAACCTCTGATCATGGACATTGTCCATGTCAGCCTTGATAATTAATCTACTTAGAACCACAGCAATAAATGTGAAAAAGAAGGGGAAAATAGGGCCTCCTTGTCTCAAGACTCTTTTTGCTAGGAAGAAATCTTTAGCAACTCATTTATTAGAACCGAGTAATGCACTGAACTAAGACAGCCCTTGATCTATTTCCTCCAACAGCTATCCATCCCTATTTTCTCCAGTATTTCAAGGAGGAAAGACATCCAACATATCATAGGCCTTTTCCATGTCCAATTTGCACACCTGACCCTTCCTCCCTCTCTTCCTTTTCTTTTCTGCCATACATTCATTTGTTGCTTGTATTTGGGAAAGATTTTCTCTTTGGCTGCAGGTGGACAAAGCCCTCAAGTCTAGCAAGGCTATTTAGTGCAAAGGCCTTCATGTGGCAAAGAAAAAGAGAGGGTTTTGTGGAGATGCACAAGGGCTGCTATTGTATGCAAAATATGGGAAGGAAGAAATGCAAAAATTTTTAAGGAGAGGCCAGGAGACTTTATTTGAATGCATAATGGCTAAGGTGGTGCACCAGATTAAATCCATCGAGCAATTCTCTTCATATTCACATGATGATTTGTAGAAAAAATGAGGGGGTGGTTGCATCTTCATCAAAGAAAATAATATATATATATATGTATGTATGTATGTATGTATGTATGTAAACATTGGACACCACTCAAGAAAAATGAATGTCATTAACTTAGTCACTGAAAGGGATTCTAAAGTTATAATTGGATGGCTAAAAAACAGTGAGAAAGCAATATGGGGCTACAGAAATGAACTCAAGCATATTGATTGGCTGGCAAGAAGCATGAATGTAAAGACAGAATTGGTGCAAAGATCTGCAAATGGGTTGGTTGATGCTTTAGCTAAGCAAGGGATTAATAGGAGTCATTTGTATTGGTTCATTGTCATGTATTTTTCTGCAGTAGGGTGCTAATCATACCCTACCCAAGGGATTTTCCAATTCCTTGTAATCTTTCTAATATCTATTAATAAAATGTTTCAGTTATTTATCGAAAAAAAATGGCATTCCATTACACAGAAACATTGAAGTCCTAGAGAAAACATCCCAAGGGTAGGGAGATTTGCTCTAGGGAAGAAGAGCAAACACCTTTCCTTTCCTCTCTAAGGAAAAAAAAAATTGAAAATATCTTTTCTCTTGGATTTCTTTAAATAATTCTAGTTTACTTATATTTCAACACAAATCCACAATTGTTGTTGTACAACTCCTTATCATCCATACATAAACCCCAATAATGATCTAGTAATCTAGTGAATACAAATACGGAGCAAACACAACCAAATTTAAGATATTAATAAACAAAAGTTGGACCAGAGAAGGTGAAGGTTGAAAGATTAAATTACATAGGATGCTCTCCAAACACACACACATGAAGAGAGAAAAATTACAAAGAAGTGTAAAAGAATAACTTACATGAGTGCAGGCCCACTTTTAGATAGAGACGAAGAGATTTAGGAAGCATGACATGCCCCTTAGCTACCAAATCTGAAAGCAAAAGATGAGTAACTACATGTCTAGGAGAATCCTTGTCTATTGGTTCCCCTTGGTTTCCTTCCTTAGCAGTTGAACTGCTCCTTTTCCTTAGAGCATTGATTTTATGATCCTTTGGGTTCTCATTGGGTGGTATTTTAGGCAATATAGTAACCAACTGAAAATTATCAAACGGTGCACATTTAGCTGTTTCCGGATGAATAAAAACAATAGAAGTGAGTGCAACCCCCAGCTTAATCCCTTTTACTTCAAACGTCTGAAATAATCCTTTGCCTGGATCTTGAACACGTAATAGTGCCTTTGTACTTGAGTGTTCTTTGTTTAAAGCTTTCTTATAGGAATCCTGGTAGGAATCAACATGTTTCTTTCGTGTCTTTGGTGCAACTGCAACTTCAGTTCCTGGCACAAGTTGCACTGAGAAATGTGTGTTGAATCAGAAATAATTGTTACACCAAGATGCAGATTTTACTTTTCTGCTTGGAATATAAATATGCTAAGATGACACTACCAACATGAGAATAAAACAACTTTTTATTGGAAACGGAACATGAGAACAAAACATAGTCAAGCCTCAAGTTCATTAATATCTATAGCAGAAGCATCCTCAGACATTACACCCCATAGATTCCAAATTCAAAAATGTATATCTCAGATTCAAGACTTCTCTAATAACTTTGATTATCCATCAAATTATAAATAAACTGAAGAATCCATAGGAGACAAATAAGAACTGAACCAGATATTGGTACCATAAATCACAGTCACAAGTCTGTCAGATGTGCTAGGATGAAAAAACCAGCATGAGAACACCGATTTGAGYCTAAGAGTGGCTTCTGTGCATAAAAGTGTCAAAGGTTGGGTATATGAAGCAACAACCTAGGTTTGTTGATCAGAGGCAATCATAGATTTCAAGACTTCAAAAATGTATATCTCAGATTCAAGACTTCTCTAATAACTTTGATTATCCATCAAATTATAAATAAACTGAAGAATCCATAGGAGACAAATAAGAACTGAACCAGATATTGGTACCATAAATCACAGTCACAAGTCTGTCAGATGTGCTAGGATGAAAAAACCAGCATGAGAACACCGATTTGAGYCTAAGAGTGGCTTCTGTGCATAAAAGTGTCAAAGGTTGGGTATATGAAGCAACAACCTAGGTTTGTTGATCAGAGGCAATCATAGATTTCAAGGCGACGCCTAGGCAATAAGGCATTCCTGGAGGGTCACCTCGCCCAAACACCTACATATTTATATGTAAGGCACCACAAAATATTTTATATTTTTATTTTATGTTATTAATAGTAGTACAATAGATATTGTTAGACTAAATTATTCATATTGCGGGTTTATAGTATTAATATTGTTATTGTTATATTTCTTTTTGTTATTTTCTTATTTGCTTGGGTTCAATCGAGACACAAGTCAGTGACATAGTCTTGAACCCTACACGATAAGGCGTTCCTGGAGGGTCGCCTCGCCCAAACGCCAACATATTTATATGTAAGACACCACATAATGTTTTATATTTTTATTTATATTATTAATAGTAGTACAACAGATATTATTCATATTGCGGGTTTCTTTTTGTTATTGTTATACTAGTTTATTTTTGTTATTTTCATATTTGCTTGGGCTCAATCGAGACACAAATCAGTGACATAGTCTTGAACCCTTTAGGACTTTAAAACCTGAATTATTAAGTAAAAAGTAACTTGAAGATTGTATCCAATTGACACACAAGAACAATCAATAGGACCAAAACAAGGGCTCAACCCTTATGTTTTGTATGTTTCTTTCCTTTCTTGGTTTTTTACTCATAAATATGTTCAGTTTCTATCTATTGTTATGGGGTTTATACTTATTTCATGAGAATTATGGTGATTATTGGTTAAAGACCACTACTTATTACTACGAAACTAAGGATCTACTGTAGGGTTCATATTTTTTTTATTTTAAAAAACTCATTGCCTAGGTGTCGCCTAAGCGTCCACCTAGCAACTAGGCAACAAAGCTCTCCCCTATCGCCCAACTTCACCTTGGCACCTTGAAAACTATGGAGGCAATGTATAGGACTGGTGAGTAGGTTGAAGAAGGCTTTGTATGAGCTCAAACAATCAGCACAGTTTGGCTTACAGTGATGTCAATCCAATTATTCTGCTTTCTGTCAAACTTTAGTGGCTGATTAGATCATTCTAATTGTCTATTTATCTATTTTCTCCATTTTTTGCATTTTTTCTTTTTTTTTGTTTTAAAATATAAAAAAGTAATCATTGTCTATTTTGATTGGATCAATAAAGATGTACACTATTACAGAGAGAAAAAGAGATTTGGGTTTTCCAAGGCCTCATATTTTGATGCATGTTATTATTACATTTAAGAGAGAGAGAGAGAGAATAGAAATAATATAAATAGGTTGAGATTAAACAATCAAAAAATTATTAATTTAAAAATCCACTAAACTTTCACTTAAAATAAATATTAATAAAACTTAGTAAATACTAAAAATGTTAATATTAATTGCTAGTTTTAATAATATTATTAGATAACTATGTATTAATGTATTTTTAATTAATTAATAATTTTTATGAGTTGAGACCTTTATTGTGCATAATGAACTCATTAAAAATGATAAATATTAATGAAAATATAAAATGCAGAAGCTGTTTATTGCAAAAAATACTGAATAATAATGAAAAACATACCAACAATTAATTAAAAATCCAGAAAAAAAAAAGTGTTTACTATTATGATGATATTAGTTCATAGTGTTACAATGGAAAATAGAAAAAAAATGTGTTTAATTATGTAATTAACTAAATACTTTTAATTACATGGCAAAACCCACCCTGTGAGGTCGGTTCCAGGGTCGGTTCTAGCCTTGGTGGTTCCAGGGTCTACCCATGGAACCTGTACTTTCTTTATTCTCCCCTTTCAAAAAAAAAAAAAAAATTTAATAAATATAATATATAGTTTAAAACTTATATTATCTTTATTGATTAAATTGGATAACTTAATATGTAGGTTACCGTTATATGGTTAAAAACTTGTAAATTAAATTTAAATTTTGTAAACATTACCTTTTACACTACTTATTGTGCACATAAAAACAAATGATCAAATCACTTAAGTAACTCAGTGATCAAGTGAGACCATGGCCTTTGTAAGCATATATGTGGGTTCAAATCTTCACACCCCAAGTTTTTTGGGGTTTATTTCAAGGCAAGTTTAGTTCCAAGGCAATTTCCAACATGATCAGTTTCACCAAGGCCAACCAAGGCTGATTCGTCGGGTCAATTCGAGTAAGGTAAACCCCTAGACCCTGAAACCAGCCTGGGTGGGGGTCGGTTCCAAGAATTTGGAACCAAACCCTACCCTGTAACAGATTGGGTAGGGTCGGTTCAAGACCAATTCGAGGACGGTTTGATTCAGTTCTGGGTAGAACCTAAGCATTTGCTCACCCCTATGGACAATTCATCAGATGGACATCAAGAACGCCTTCCTCCATGGGCATTTACAAGAGACAGTCTATATGAAACCACCTCCTGGATACTGTGATAATCCTCTCCTGGTGTGTAAACTGAAATCATTATACAGTCTTAAACAAGCCCCACGAGCTTGGTTTGACCGCTTCCTTAAAGTGTTGTTGAAGGCTGGTTATCAGCAAAGTGTTTCAAATTACTTTCTTTTTACCCTCAAACAAGCACAAGGGTTGACTCTCCTCCTGGTATATGTTAACAAGCCCCACGAGCTTGGTTTGACCGCTTCCTTAAAGTGGTGTCGAAGGCTGGTTATCAGCAAAGTGTTTCAAATTACTTTCTTTTTACCCTCAAGCAAGCACAAGGGTTGACTCTCCTCCTGGTATATGTTGATATCCTCTTGGGCCGGTCACCTATTTTCTTAGTCTTGAAATTCAGCGATGTCCTCAAGGTTATTTTATCAACCAACAGAAATATGCCTCTGATTTAGTTGCATTGGCTCGCTTCACTGATTCCAAACAAGTGGATACACCTCTAAAGCTTAACCATAAGCTGAGTAAGGATGAGGGTGAGTTCCTTCCAATGCTACTTTATACTGAAAACTTGTAGGTAGTCTTATCTACCTAACTATGACTAGACCGGATATTTCATATGTTGTCCAGCTCGTGAGTCTGTTTGTATTTTCTCCACGTCACCCCCATTTTTCAGCAGTTCTCCGGATCATTTGTTACGTCAAGGGAACGATGTCTCATGGCTTATTTTTCTCATCTTCTTCCTCTACTCAGCTCTAAGCTTATGCAGATGTTGATTGGACAGATTGCCCTAACACTCGTTGTTCTACTACTACATCTTTCTTGGTGATTCTCTAATGTCTTGGAATTGCAAGAATCAACAAACAGTCATCTACTAAAACAGAATATAGAGCAATGTCCTCTGCATGCAGTGAAATAGTTTAGCTCAAGGCTCTACTTCATGATATGAACATTAATCACTCATCTATCATCCCTCTGTTTGCTGACAACATGAATGCTATCAAGATTGCATCCAACCTGGTATTTCATGAGCATACTAAACATACATATTGAGGTGGATTGTCACTTCATTCGTGACCTTCTTCTTGCAAGTCACATCTCTCTCCCACATGTCTCCTCGGGCTTGCAGCTTGCAGATCTCTTCACCAAAGCTATGACCAAAGCCCAGCATAATTTTCTTATGGACAAACCCATGCTTGTTCCCCAGCATCAGTTTGAGGGAGAGTGTAGAGAAGATGGAGGGTAGTTCTGTAATTTTACTCTCCTTATTGTAAACTAGTGTGTGTATATTAGTGTTCTATCTTGTATAGAACTATACCTTTATTTCTTTTGTAAGGGCAATCTTGTCCATTCACTTATTAATATAAACTCTATTTTCTAGGTTGGTCCGATCATACTGAATCACTGATCAACCCTAACAGATCTGAAGTCTCTTGGCTTTCTCTCTGCCTTTTCTCTCTCTCACATACTAACATTTTATTTATACTTTATTTTTATTATATTTAATAAATAATATCTTTGATTGTTATTATTAATTTGTCAATGTTTTATTATAGTATTATTATTTTATTACTATTTTGCAATATTTTTGTTATTATTTTATTTTATCATTATCTTATTATTAATTTAATATTATTTTATTAATCTTAGGGTTGGGGAATTTTTGTCATGAGCTCTTAATTTCTTGAGAGATTCTGGATTCCCTAGGGGGGCATGGATTGGCCATTCCCCCATATGGGGGAATCCCATTCCCCTAAGAACAGGAATAGGAATCCCATTCCTGCCAAACAAATGGTTGGAATCGGATGGCACATTCCGATTCCGACTCCAAGCACCTATTCCAGGAAACCAAACGAACCCTTATTGTGTGATTGAGCTATTTACTTTTATAACTTTTAGTGCATTACAAATGCATGTACCAATATCAAGTGAATAAGACATAATCTTACCTACCGATTTCTTAGGAAAGGTCGAAACCACAAGAAACATAATGATATTGCGACCATGCAACCATAAAGGGAATCTCATTCCTTCATAGACTATACCAACCTGCATTCAGGAAATGTAAAGTTTTTATTAAATGTTACCATGTTAGCAAAAAAATAAGAACAATGAAAACAAAAAAATATTTTTTGATAATAAATAAAAAGAAAATTTATTAAAAAGGAAGAAAAAGATTTTTTTATCAGTGAAAATAATTTGTACTAATAGTACAACATGATGATGATGATGATGATGATGATGGAATGAGAAATACTAGTAAGCTGAAGAAAATGGGGTTGTTCTAAATGGTTTCTTGGTTGGAAGGCCTGTGGTAACTAGTAACTTGAGTAGAATGAGAAGTACTGGTATGCTGAAGAAAATGGGGCTGGTCTTCATGGTTTCTTGGTTGGATGACCTGTAGTAACTTGAGTTCTTGGTATATTGTCATAAAACATTCCAAGAATTCATTGATTGGGTGGACTACAAGTCGTACAAGTCCAAATCCAGGAATGGTAGAAATAATAACAGCTTGGTAATGGTAAAATCTCAGGCTGACAAGTGTGAGAATGTGGGTTCAAGTCTGAGAGCAGCCACTTTCTGCAAAAAATTGCCAAAGGTTAGGACCGTATCCAGTCCACCCCTCCCCAAGACTCCAGATAGCTGGGACCTACATTGGGTAATGGCCTTTTTGCATAGTTCCACAGATTAGAAAAAAATTAAAAAGATAAAGAAGCACTAGATACTTAACCCCACCAAAATAAATTTTTTTGGTCATCTCCTACATATAGAAAGGATTTTTTCTATCAGTAACAGAAATATGTGAAGAAGGGGTGTTGGACAGTAAGAAGAAGACATAGGCAAAATACTGTATTTGAGTTTCAATAAAGAACAAGGTTTTCATGGTTCAATTAAGATGAATTGTTTAATTGATCAAAAAAATAAAGATTAACTGTCAAATCTTGACAGGATTTGAAGTACCTGTTTCAAAAAAGCTGCCTCTGCATGGTCTGAGTTGAGCTCCAGAACTTCCCAATCATCCTCACTATTGGGTTCTATCATAACTAGTGTAGCTTTTGGCAAATTAGCAACAGCTCTCACCTGCACCGTAATACCATCTGGTACAGAAATACACTCTGCCAGTTGTTGAGCAACCTTCACTCACAACAACAATTTGGAATTATAGAAGCAAAGTTTAATAAAAATAACATAAAGATAATACAAACATTAAAGAGTGGCATTATTCAACTACAAAGGAAAAGAAGGCATGCCATGCAGGTTCCCCTAATTGAAAACCTACCTAATCCAAAGTCCAGCATGGAAATTTAACTTTGCAATGGATCAGTGCTTATAAGATAAAATTGAGTATTTCAACATGGACCGTATAAGGTGTTGTATGGCATTCAGTATGCATCCTCTGTTTTTCTTCTATTTTGACAGGCAGAGTTTCATTAAGGATTAAAAGGAAAATTCAATATATGCTGAATAAATAGCCCCCATCATATCAGTAAGCTAGGAGTCTATTGTATTAAGATACTAAAAGTTTTTGGAAATATCTTTAACCCAGTATTGCATGGATATGGACTCAGCAGTTCCGATGCATGTTCACTGCAGTTCCGATGCATGTCCACTTCTGCATATAAAATTAGGAAAACTCTATGATGCCAGAAAGACATGATACTAGAAAGGCTTTGACCACTCAAAACCCCTCATGAATTTTGATGAAAAGTCACCTGATTTGGTTACCACTATGATGATGCCAATTGATTGGTTATAAGTTTTTTCAGAAATCATATCTTTTTGACATCATAGTTTGGGCCCACAAAACTATATATTGATATAGTTTTTATTTTAGTTCTAATTTATATCTTTTTGACATCATAGTTTTTCAGGAATCATGAATTTTGATGAAAAGCCACCTGTCATGTATGTTTTATTTTAGTTCTAATTCATATTTTTTTTATTTTAGTTTTAATTTGTTTACAAACTAAGAACAATGTCCAGAGGACCGGACCGGGCATTTAACCGGAGAGGGGAGAGGTTCATGGATCAGAGGTTAAACCGAGTCAAACTGGAGGTCAAACCATGATGATGTGGCATATGCATATATATACTACAGGTCATATAAATATTATATATAATAATACATTTTACAACTCTTAATATACTTAAATATGGTGTATTGATGGCAAGTTCCTTAATTTTTAAAGCAAATGATTAGAATTCAAGTCTCTTAATTTACATTTTCTTTAAAGTACATGCATAATAAAGTAATATGTACAATAAAGAGTCATTAATTAACACAAGTTGAGAGGTGGACTAATGGTAGTTAAGCAATATATAACAATAAGAGGTCATGGGTTCGAATCTTGCTAAGCATATTTTAAACTTTCTATTAGTTAAGGACCCGGGCGGTTTCATGAAACTAGGACTGGTTCACCGGTTTTCCAGTTAAACCAGCCAGCTAGCCGGTTTTCACTAGTTTTTTAACCAAAGCGGTTATTGGGGCATAACCAAACCCGGGCCAACCAGCTGGTTCAGTCCGGTTTTCTAATGTAGAGATGATGGGCTGAATGGAAATTAGTTTCTTTCTTTTCTTTAGTTATGTTTATGTTTTATGTTTAAGAGTAGTGGACCTTAGTTATGGGCCTGGTTTCTTCTTTTTTATTATTGTTTTTAGTGCTGGCTGCCTACTAAGGGTATTCATGTAATTGTGCTTACATTACGATTAAAGAATAAAAGATAACTTTAGGGGACAGGAGAGAGGTTCAAACTACTATCTTCCTTCTTCCCTTTCCTTCCATCTTCTTCCTTCATTGTTTCTTTCTCTTCCATCTTCTTCAATCTTTTTCTTCTCTTCTATTTTCTATTTTATTTCAGATTATTGCAGGTGGGATCTACAACTTGGTAGCAGAGTGGCAGTCCTACCTTCTTCCTTTTTCTTCTCTTTAATCCCATATACAGGTTGTATGGAGAGTTGATTGGTTAATTGATTAGCAAGTATTCAGCCTAGTTAGAGGAGGTTTTTGGAGAAGATTGCAATGCTTGTTTGGGGCCCAAGACAGGTTCTTGGAGTTTCCCAAGTTCTTAGATTAAGGGATATAGAGGGAATGTGGAAGTGGCTCTTGGGGCTAGAATAGAAGCATTCTGATTATTTTTGAGATCAATCCAAGTAGTAAAGATTTCTGGAGCCTCTGGTAGGAGTGGCTAGACTTTCTCCCTTTCTCCCATTTTGTCAAAGCCGATGAAACCCCTGACTTGGCTGTTTGAAGAGCAGTTTTAGCCCTGCAGCAAGTCCTGACTAGTAACACCTTATTTTTATTTTCGCTTGTCTCGTTTGGCCAATGGGGCAAATTGGAGGTGAGATGAAACACTCCACAAATTCCAAGTTTGGTCTAAGAGGGTCTATAGAGACTATTGGGGGCAAAAACCTTAATGCAGTTGGATGGAACCAATTTTTTGGCATGGTCTCAGTCTCTAAAGATTCATGTATAGAGTAGAGGGAAATGGAGGTACATCACCGGGACCAAGACGAAGCCTGCGGAGGATAACCCTATACCTATGAGAGCTGGATGCAAGAGAACTACATTGTAGCAAGCTCATATTAATCAGCACTACTTGTGGATGGAGACTGCAAAAGAGGTGTGGGATAGTGTTACAAAGACCTATTCCCAAACAAAATCAGGTCGTTGAGTTCCATAGTGGACTCAATCTTGACAATGATATTGTCAGACAGAATATTCTAGCAAAAGACAAAGTGACCTTATCCCAAGCCTATGCCATGGTTAGCAGTGAGGAGAGTCGGTGACAGGTGCATGTTATAGAAGTCTCAACGAATCACTTGGCCAATGCTGAGATGAATCCAAGGGCCAGTACTGAGAAGAAAGATGTAGTATGTGAGTATTGCAAAAAAACCCAAGCATACGAAGGATACCTAAGTTTCTTTCTTTCATTTAGTTATGTTTATGTTTTATGCTTATGAGTAGTAGGCTTTAGTTATGGGCCTGTTTTCTTCTTTTTTATTATTGTTTTTAGTGTCGATCGCCCTACTATGGGTATTCATGTAATTGTGCTCATTACAATTAAAGAATAAAAGATAACTTTGGGGAACAGGAGAGAGGTTCTAACAACTCTCTTCCTTCTTCCCTTTCCCTCCATCTTCCTGTATTGTTTCTTTTTTTTTTAGAAAATTTAACCAGAATTTATTAAGAAAAAAGGGGGGATCGAGGATCAAGGGGAGATATACAAAACAAGGGGAGAACCCCTACAAGTTACAAAAGAGGAAGCTCGTCTCTATACAAATGCTCCAAATACACACCAAATTTAGCTAGGCCATCTGCAGTATGATTGTGTTCCCTAGGAATCCAAACTCAATTAACATACAAACCATCCAAAGAATCCCAAGCTTCAGTCAGATAATGATTCAATCTCCAAGGGCCCCCTCTTTGTCTCTTAACCATTTTATCGTATTTGTTGAATCACCTGCAATGATCAAATTCTAAATTCCCAAATTCTTTATTATCCTGATTCAGGTGAGAGCAGCCACCACTTCAACCTTTGTAGAGTCAGCCCAGCCGAATGGACCACTAAAATGATAGACAGTGTATGCCCTTAGCTCCAATCAAATTAATGTACTTGATGACATTTATTGTAATACCCTTAAATTGATTCATGTGTTTTGGTGTGTTTCTGTGTAATACCCTAAAATTTGACACTTATGAGACTCGTGTGTTTTGGTGTGTTTTTGTGTAATACCCTTAAATTGGACACTTATGAGACTCGTGTTAGTTTAGAATCTTCACAGCCATTGGATAGATCTGGGGAGATTTATGCTACCAAGGCAAACACTGATGTGCCGCCAAGTTGGTTAGGGTGGCTTGTCTCAACCACTAAGGTGAGACCTGAGGTACATGCAGTGTGGGTTTTTTTGAAACCCTGAACCGGACCAAAATTCCAGTATTGCCCTGGACCTTGGAGATAGATGGGCAAAACTGGAATGTTACACCTGACCCCTAGACTCGACTATGATATTGCACTAAGTATCAGATTGGGCTGTCTTTGATGTGCCAATCAGAGAGATCCTTAGAGGGGGTCAAAACCTAGGTATGTTGGGATAGTCTAAGAATTCATCTGAGTGGGTGATCATAATGACAGGATCAGCCGCTTTTTCGGACAAAGTGAATGATCGGGGATGCACTCTCTTTGATAGAAACCAAAACTGCCGACAGTTGATTTCAACCGTTGAAATTTGTTTTGCAAAGTATATTTCTATAGAGATATACACATATATATTATGGTTTCAAAATGTTTGCAAAAGGTTTTAATTCCCGGGATCCATGTGAGTAGAGAATGTAGTATTGTACCTTGCAGCCGAAGGAGAGGTCCTCTCTTGTCGGGCAGTGTTTGATCATTATGGGTTGAGAGGTTAAGTATAAGACCATTGAGGGTAATACCTAATGAGCTAATCTTGCATCTGCCCACAGTCCTTGGGTTTTCATAAGGTGGCTGGACCCAAGGACCATTTAGTGTAAATGTTAAGCCCATTAAGAGTCCATAGTGATGGGCTCAGGGGTTCACTGTCTCCTATAGTGAATTCGGCCAAACCTTGTAACAGAGACTGGGCTGAACCCATGTGGCTGATGTGTAGATCAATGTTTGGGTCCCA